TCAAGTAAGGGGTTCTGTGCAGGTACCACCTGTGACAGTTCCCCCACCACCCTAAACAGTTCTGCTGGACGAGACTCTGCAGACGCAATACGTGCAGAGGAGAAAGACTTCAGCACTGCACGTATTGCCTCCCAATAGGAATCAAGATGTTTCCTATGGCGAGTTCTGTTGGATAAGAGTCGAGTCTTCTGCCATTCGCGCTCTAGTCGTTGTCCAGCCTGCTTATGGCTGAGGGTATACTGTAGACATCTTTCCCAGTGATTTCAGCAGCAGTGACTTTATGGTAAAAAGACTTAGAACTGCAGCCTCATGCATTCAATTATCCACTAATGCAGCAATAAAGAGCCAGACTATATTTGTTGGGTAGACATTTGCAGACACATAACACCTCCTGTTGACATTTAAAAAGAGGAGGCTGGCCTTTTGAAAAGGTGACAGACAGGAAGAGATGTGTTGGGCATTAAGCTACCAAGCATGTTTTCACTGGTAAAATGATCCACTTATACATCTCTCCATAGGGGGTCCTTGAGACTAGACCCAGCTTACCCTTTCCCAGCCTCCAAGTATCTGATGTCATGTCAATAGTTCCTGCTGCTGAGGAAAACAGGAATGTTGTGCCTTCTCAAGCCAGCGTACTCAGTCCCACAATTAAAATTAGATGGCAGTTTGGCAAGACTGGAGGCTCTGAGTCTAGAGTCCTTCCAAGAACTCCAAATTGATTCCTGACAGGAATGCTTATACCAGATACAGGCACAGCCTTAAAAGCTACTGTGCTGGCAACCAATAAAGCACAATTATAGTAACAAAACAATGTCACGGTGTATGTCACTGACTTTCTGAAGTGCAATATACTAGATGTTCATAGTGTTGATGGCATTCAAGACTGTGAATGGCAGATACTCTGGTTGTGCCTGGTACCTTTCCCAGGATCCTCTAGCTTAGCAACTCGCAACACCCAGTTGTCACCTATAGTTTGGGAATGACAGCACTATTGAGTCTTTTATTATTAAGGGGTTTCTCAATGTGGAATTCATTCTCTTCTAGGTTTTAGTCCATTTCTTCTTCATCTTAGACAACTTCCTTCAGATTTCTATGTTTTGCAAGGGCATGTAAAGAACCCATATCTGGTTTGGGCCAGTGGGCACATTTGGTTTTTGTAAGAATGACATTTGTTGATGTTTGGACATGTGTGTGACAGAATGCCTGCTAGGTAAATGAGGGTCATGGCCAACTTACACCCTCCCCCTGAAAAAAAATCCTCCCAAAGGCAAATTGATGAGGCTGAAAGATCACTAGCAGAGCAGTACAAGGAAGAGATATATAGTCTGAACTCCAAAACACTCTTTTGAAATCTCAGTTTTCAACTCCACCAATCATTTCACAGGAGGCAAATTGATGAGAATATGAGAAAAGAAAATTCACTCAAAAAACTCAGTACAAGGGAGAGGTAGAATCAGAGTCTCTGCCAAATGCCAAATCACATATTTGTTCTGCAAGCATAATAAAATATTGATTTCATAGAAAGCAAACTGGAGCTGCCCAGAGAAGCATGCTTTCTGTCTGTCTGTCTGTCTGTCTCTCTCTCTCTCTTTAACACACACACACATACACATACACACACACACAGACAACACCCTGTCAAATTTTGAAATGTCTAGAACAATATACTGGTAACTTATGGCTGTCACATATATAGATTTTTTTCTTCTATTAATATAGATTTCACATCAGAACAATTGGGCAGTTATGTCCCAAACTGTTCTCAAATTATCTGCAAGGCTTGGAAATGCCCAATTGTCTTGTTCAGATTCATGGCTGATATTTTGAAGCACACTCTCTAACTCTTAATCTCTACTTTAGAAACAAGCCACAGAGGAAGTCTTATGTGTAAGTACTGTATGTAGAAAAGGGAAAGAACACAAAGCTATTTTTAAGATATGAATAATCTGCAGTGTTATTAAATAAGGAAGACTAATACAAAGAAGGGTAAAAACAAAAGCTGTCTATGATCACTTAGGTGTTCATAAGAACACTTAACCCATAATTCAGAACTGATTTAAAAAAAAAAAGGTTAGCACGTCTGCACATACAGAAATTATCATCCACTTTGAGAGAAGAAGTAATACACAGATGGGAAAGAGAGTGTTACAAACGTATGTACAGATGTGTCCCCATGTTTGGCACACTAAGTCTTAACCAGCTCTTATCTTGTCAGTGTGTTAGTACAAGGCCAGATGACTACATGCATCAGGCTCAGTGTTCAAAAGAGCACTTGACACAGTGCCATGGTCTTAACTGCAGAGGTGAGGGAACTGGAGCCAAATGCTATCATTACTAAATATTATACAGCTCTCCAGTGAATTCTGCAGACTTCAGCAGCAATATCATTTCCTGCACCGCCATCAAGAGAGCAGGTGTGACTGTACATTGGTCCCTTTAGCATCTACTCTAGTTTCAGTTTTAAGAACTCTCTCCTTCTCCTAGTGCCATTTCTAGGTTGCTCCCCTTACTTCACTCCTTCTCCATCCCTACCTTCTCAGTCTATTAGTGCAAAAATATAGGCGTCACCTGATCCTGGGGTGATTAATGGTCCTTCCAGCTCCAGTGTCTCATCTTCATACTGGTCATCCAGCTTTTTCTTTTTCTTCTTTGTTGGATCTCTAGGCTTTCTCAAGAGGGAGAGTTCTTCTGGATGTCTGATGTCTAGGGAAGAACAGGGAGAAATCATATTTTCACACAAAGAATTATTAAAGCAAAACAAAGAATAGAAATAACCACTAATCTAGAACATTTGCAAACAAGGGGTAAATCTGCTGGTGGAAAAGCAGGTACCAGAGGAGTGGAGGCTTCCACCTCTTCCCTGAAGTTAACCCAAGTCTGCCCTGGAGGGTTGGGGAATGCAGGGATGAATAGAGGTCAGGAAAAGCCCATTGCACAAGCAAATGTAGATGTACCCACTTTGTGCTCAACTGTGATAATCTTTTGATATACCAATGTTAAAAAACCCACCCCACTTACAATAAGACAGAAAAGGTACCGATATTCATGGGGAGTGTTCTCCTCTTTAGTTTGTATTGTTGGAGGTCAGACTTTCTGCAGAGTGAAACCTCCCAACTGCAAAAAAAGACCCACAGGGAAAACGCAGGACAAAGTGGGATGAACTGTACACTATTAAAGCATAAGCTTTTATCGCCACTGATATTGTTATAATCCACCCAGTGAACTTTACTATTCAGCAGCATACAAATATTATAAACAAACAAGTGTGCAATGGAAGCTGTGTGCCACAAGAAGTTTCTCCGTCTTTTTTATGCCATGACACATTGTTTTTGCTAGCTTTAATTCATCTCAGAAGGGATTTGAAACAGAAATCCAGAATTCCATTGGCAGCAGAAGAGGAATTGGAAGCATTGCTTGGCTTTCTGCTTTAATCTTTGTTTTTGTTTTTAAAGAAGTGCCAGATACCTGCCAGAAGCACAAATTAATTTGGAATGCGTCCACCTGGAACAGATTCCCTGAGCTTTCTTTTCAGACATTTTTCTCTTAAGTCCCTCTCCACAAATCCACTGCTTTAGTGAGAGTATCGTATGTACTCATGTGTATGTTGACCTCATGTATAAGCTGATGGCAGATTTGGGGGGCAAAACTATGGATTTTTATATGATGTCAGATAAATCAAGGATAGAACATAATGGCATATTCACAAAGGACAAAGGAAAGGAAAATAATGCCAAAAAACCTTACAATTCTGGTAGGCAAAACTGTTTTTGTTCACCCTTGCAGGGGTAGGCAACCTTTCCCCTTTAAGGGCCGAGGGACTTCAGCTCCCAGAATCCCAGGAGCTATTGGCCAACATGGGACTATTGGCCAACATGGCTGAGGCTTCTGGGAGCTGAAGTCCCTCAGCCCTTAAAGAGGAATGGTTGCCTACCCCTAACTACTCCATCCTGGGAGAACCTAAAAGAAGCACTGACTTCTTCTACTCCCTTGCCAAAGAGCTGCTGTCCCCATGATTTTCTTACCCTGGCATTCAAAAAGGTCAGAAGTGGCACCACAGGAGACTAGAAGGGTTGGTGCTTCTTTCAGGTTCTACTGGGACAGACTAAGCTCTCACCTTCTATCACTCTATTAAAGAAGGGAATGGTTCCTTTTTTTGATAAGAGTTAAGGAATAGTGCTTACACCAGGGACCGGCAACCTACGGCCCGTGGGCTGGTTAAGGCCCCGGTCCCTGGACTTACTGGCCCAGGCCGAAGGTTGCCGCCGCGTGTCGCGGCGGCGGCAAGTTTTTGCCGCTCTACGGCCGCGCTCACCACGACCGCCATTTTGAAAATCAAAATGGCGGTCACTACGCGTGCGCGGGGGGGTTGCGCGGCGGTGGCGGCGGGTATGCACGCGCGTGTGAGCGTGCACGCCGCCATTCCCCCCCCCCAGCCCAGCCTAGACCTGGGCTACGGGAGGCCGGCCCAGGTCTTAAAACGGTTGCCTTCCCCTGGCTTACACTGACTGTGGATAAGCTAACCCAAAATTTTTAGGTTGATATTTTTGACTAAAATTTCCAGCCTTATATATGAATAATACAGTATTTCCTAAACCACTATAGCCACAACTTTTCTATACATTTAAATCTTCAGCGTTTGTTATTACCAGAAGACCTGAGCCTCCCAATTCACCCTCATCCTAATAGGCTTTTTCATCACAAAACACTCTTCTATGATGTGCACAGTGCCCACCATAATTAATGATAAGATATAATTGTTTAATAAGAGTACACTGCATGCTTATTATGTCTTGTTTTGACCTAAGAATATGAAAGTACCATTTACAGATCTCCCAATCACTGTCTAAATATTGTTGTTGCTTTGTGCTTTTAAGTTTTTTCTGACTTATGGCGACTCTAAGGCAAACGTACCATGGGGTTTCCTTGGCAAGATTTGTTCAGAGGAGGTTTGCCATTCCCTTGCCTTGAGGCTGAGAGGGTGTGACTTGCAGTGGATTTCATGGCCAAGCAGGGAATTGAACCCTGGTCGTCTCTGAAGCTGTAGTCCAACACTCAAGCCACTTTGCCACACTATTATTACTGAATACAGTATTACTGAAATATTACTGAATATTTTGTTTCACTATCCTCCTCTCAGCATCAAATAGTTTGTCACAGAAACAAACAAAATAATTTTGCTGCAAGTAACACAATTTCTTTGTTTTGAAATGGTTAGGTTTTTTTGGATTTTGTCTCCAAATGGGTTTCTGTGTAATAAGTGATACAAAAGCTTAATAGTGTAGAAATAATATTGACAAATTATTATTAGTGAGTGTCCTCAAACTCTGAAGGGTGTGTGTGTGTTGAAATGATACCCAGGAGTGCATTCCCATGGAATCATGGCTTCTGCAGAAGTAATTAAAGTCAGTTCATTTCCTGCATCTCTTAGGGGGAAAAAACCTTTCCCACCAATTGAATTTTTACCAGTGTTTTTTTTTTAGAAAGGATGGTCCATCACACTGAGGATACAAGGTAGGAAATCATGTCTCGCTTGCTTTGATAGGGGAGCAAAATCCCCCTTCTACCATTGGCACTACTGCACAATCTTCAAAATTGTCCTTTCAGCAAAGGCATGCCGCTGGCAAATGCATATCCAAGTATGAAGGAAAAAATCACTGTTGTGTATATAGCTGCATCTCCTTGTATGGTTTTCTTGTTCCTCTAGTCTGTGGCGATGGAGAACACAATAACAGTGGTATATTGTAGTAACAAGTCAGCGAGGCTTAGTAGTTTGGGTTGGACTACAACTCTGGAAACCAGGGTTCGATTCCCAGCTCATCCATGAAACCCACTGGGTGACCTTGGGCAAGTCACACTCTCTCACCCTCAGGGGAAGGCAGTGGCAAACCTCTGAACAAATATTCTGAAGAAAACCCCGATAGGCTCGCTGCCTTAGTGCGACTGTAAGTTGGAAACGACTTCCAAGCACACAACAACAACAATAATACTGCAGTAGCAGGTAAGAGTACACACACAACTGGACCCATGAGCCCCCTGTCCTTGTCCAGTCACACATATCGCGACACCAGGAAAATGAACGATCTGGACAGTTATCTAGACTGTCCTCACCAACGGCACTTGCTCAGGCTGAATCCCTATTCCCTGATCTGCCTTACGATTGACCAAGAGCACCTCTGTCTTGTACACCATTCAGGAACAGGACAGAGGGAGGTCAGAGATCTTTAAACAGAGGTTGGATGGCCATCTATCACGGATGCTTTGGTTTTGATTTCCTGCATGGCAGGTGGGGTTGGACTGGATGGCCCTTGGGGTCTCTCCCAACTCTATGATTCTATGAATGGAGAGTTGGGCGGGAAACAAGCTGTGTCTGTCCAGGCTGTAAGACAGGAGACCTTCCATAGAGAGGCCTCCCTCTTTCACTTTCCCAAGCCACCCCCCAAACCTCATCTTCCTTCCCCAAAATACAAACTTGTAGGGCTCCAGGCTCCCTTTGGAACTTGGGCTTGCTAGCAGCAATTGTTGTTGTGTGCCTTCAAGTTGTTTTGACTAATGGTGACCCTAAGAAGAACCTATCATGGGGTTTTCATTTACTTCATGTGCAAAATTACCCAAAAGCAGCCGCCTCCCTTGTTTAGGATACTTTCTCTCTTCTCTCCCCCCCCCCTCCACAGAAGTGGACCTAATACGAAGACATAGGCATGGGGTGTGTGTGCTAGGGTTCACTTTGCAAAGAAAGAAAGCTGGATCTTCTCCACACATGTAGTTAACTGATGTGGAAAAATATTCACTAGCCAATTTACTTTAGTGAGGGGAACTATAGTAGTAAGTTGGAGAAACTTGGTTTCTTCAACTAGGGCAGATCTCACTTCCAGAGCTCTTTGCTGATTACATACTGGAGTCATTATTTCTGCCATGATAATGAGCCAAGGTTGTGAGGGCCTATCCATTTTCCAAGACAAGAATGTTTATATATTTCTACAATGTTATACCAGCATTTTCTTAAACAATGAATTTCACCTAAGGGAACCCTGAATTTCATCTAAGGTAACCACGGCCATTGGGACTGGGACGTGGGCTCAAGTGGTTAAGACACTGACTCTGTTGATTGGCAATTTGAGGCCCGAATGCTGCATGATGGGGTGAGCTCCTGTCACTAGTCCCAGCTTCTGCCAACCTAGCAGTTCGAAAGCCTGCAAATGCAAGTAGATGAATAGGTACCACTTTGGTGGGAAGATAACAGTGTTCTGTGCAGTACTGCTGGCCACAGGATCACAGAGTAGTCTCTGACAAAGCTGGTGCTTCAGCTTAGTAACAGAGATGAGCATTGCCCCAAACAGTCAGACATTACTTGACAACCTTGTCAATGGGGGATACCTTTACCTTTAGCCACGGCCAACGGCAACACCCCCTCCCCCCAAAAAAAAATCCTCCCAAAGGCAAACTGACGAGGCTTGAAAGATCACTAAAGGCAATGTTTAAGTACAAGGCAGAGATATACTGTCTGAACTCCAAAACACAAAACACTCTTTTGAAATCTCAGTTTTCAAGTCCATCAATAATTTCACAGGAGGCAAACTGATGAAATACAGAGAAAAGAAATTTGCTCAAAGAACTCAGTACAAGATAGAGGGTAGAATCAGGGCCCCTGCCAAATAAATGCCAAGCACATATTTGTTCGGCAAACATAACAAAATACTGATTTCACAGAAAGCAAACTGGAGCTGCCCAGAGAAGCATGTTGTCTGTCTGTTCCTCTCTCTCTCTCTCTCTCTCTCTCTCTCTCTCTCTCTCTCTCGCACACACACACAAACACCCTGTCAAATTTCAAAGCGTCTAGGACAATATACTGATGACTTACGGCTGTCACACATATGCAGAATTTCCCCCCCTATTATGCTATTATCTGAACAATAGGGCAGTTATGTCCCAAACTGCAAATCCCCAGGCCATATTTTGCAAAAGTATGAAGTAATTTTTCTCAGTTAATAGCACCCATCAGTCAGTGGTCTCATAATCATCACACAATCTTATTCTTTAAAAGGTGGAGTAAAATATCTAGCGGTTTATATAATTTTGCCCTTTTTCTTATTAAGTTTTAGCTAGTGTGATGCGTAACATTGGTTGGCACTGCGCAGAGGGAGGAGTAGGTGGCCCTCCTTGTGTAACCCCATCGCCTGGTAAACCTTATGATGAGACACCCCAAGTGAGACACAGGCAGGA